CACTCACTCTCACGCGGCCACCACCGCAGCCGCAGCCGCACACACCTATTTAGCCCGAAGTGGTGTACGCCAGCGCGTACGCGGCGAGAAGCAGCGGAGCTCACGCCCACGCAGAGTTTTTGAGGCTGCCGTCCATTTCGCAGAGACGTGACGGTGCGCGGGTGGTCCTCGTAGCAGGCACCTCAAGTAACAAATGACCGTATTAATTTGTGCCTCTGGCATGATGTCTTTTTTTTCCTGCTCTTTCCAGCGCGTCTAGCTATACAATGCCATCTTAGTGCCGAAGAGGTGGTCGAGCAGCGACAAAAGTTTCCTGCTATGAAGCAACTGTCATTGAGATAAATTTTCCGTGGCGAAGCTCCTGTTCAATGCCCAGTCTTTGGCGCACAGCCAAGGTGCCTGGACATTCTAGAAGCAGATGGTGCAAGGTTTCCTGCAGGCCAATTGGCATGCTTGTGGAAGCTGGCTGATCCTGCGGCGGCAGAGATCGCCTCCTGGCACTTCTGTTTAGATGTCGAGTGGCGTCTGGGTTGTGTGCGCAGCGACTTCTGTGCTGTGCGGTGCTTCTCCGTGTGGGGAAAACCATATCACAGAAATCGCGTTTGAGCTCGGGAAGCGGTGGAGGATGTTCCGGATGAAATGACCGACAGTGACTGACGAGATTCGAGAATCCCGTCAATGTAGAATCACAGTACGGACATTTCTCCTTCCGACGACGTGTGACGGTCCGTCTCCTTACTGGAGAGACGTCTTCCTCCCTTGCCGACGGGGGAACAGTGTCCATCCCCGGTGCAGTTGGATCGTTGTTAGAGCGCATATATGCAGACTGTTCCGCTGAGATGTTGCAGAAACGGCATTGGTTCGTGCAATCTCTCAGAGCCCAGTATAGTCGACCCCAGAGCTCAGATTCCCCGCACCTTGACCTTGCGAGGTGAACCAGTTCTTGACGGTGAAGAACTTCCTGAGTGATCAGGTCCTTACCGCTGAGATCTGATGGCCTTGTGCCGCAAAGCAAGTAGCGATGAGTGTCTTGACGAATCGTACTACGCCACTTATTGGTGAGCTGGGTAGTAAAACATGTCAGCAGATCCGTATGCCATAAAGGTGCAATTGCTTGCTCCGTGTATTGTCCAGTTGCCGTAGTCTGCGTCGCATGCTGATCTGCAGGCTCGTTAACATGTACTTCACAATGTCCGTGAAAAACTGCAGGTGCACGGACCAGCCAGCACACGTCAGTGTTAAGAGACGTTGCCAGATCTGATCCTCCGTCCAGTCTGTCTGACTGAGCGGGCCCTTGTTTAAAGCCGCAAGAAGAGACTGACTGTCTGTAACCACAAGCAGGGTTTTGTGCCTGTGTTGGATGCGAGGGATAATCAGCCTTTCCAGGGCTAGAAGCAGTGCGCGGGATTCCGTCCTGTAGCTGCATGGGCGTGCACCGCAGTTTATACTGGCCTTTACTTTTATCTCCGATGAATTGAGGGATGAAAGCAGGATTCCAACCCCGGCTGACTTGGGAACGTCGACACCGCCATCCGTCGCGAGTATCCACGAACGATGGCTGTGCAGCGCTAGAGCCTCTTCGCTGACTCTGCGCTTTTCCCGTATCAGCTCTTCCTCGTCAGTTATTGAGGGGTCTATCGGAAGTTCCGCGCCAATGGTGACCCGGTGTGCGGAGGCCGCAAACCAGGGAGGAATGGAGCTGCGAAAGAACCGCTCTTCGCGTGGTGAGCTCTGAATGATGCCATAGTCCTTTGTGTATGCGTCTACGATGGCGTATAGCTCGTCCCGAAATAATGGCGAGATGCGGAAACCTGCGCGAGGCGGTGGCTCAGGCGGAGGTCTCCGCATCCAGTCCATCTGACATGCGCGTGTGTTCTCAAATATGGAGAGCCGCGCGCAGGCAAAGGACATGGAGCGGAGGCATATTAGCCTCTAGAAGTGCGGGTTCCGGGTCGACAGTGCTCGGAACTCCGCTGACAATGCGTGCCAGGGTTGCATACGTCTTCTGCATCTCATTCTTCGCTGAATCCGTCGCTACTGCCCATATGAACTCGCTGCCATAGCGTAATTTGGAAGCACCGTATCCGATGACGAACGTGCGTAGGTCATGTGGAGATGGTCCCGCCTCTTTATGCGCTATGCAGCGTAGCTGCGATATCCGTTGCGAAGTGGCGGCGCATTGCTTGGAGGCCGCCACATTTAGCGTCAGTCGTGGATCGAGATCCATGCCAAGAAGCTTCGTAGTTCGCGATGCCCCCATGGTCATGACTGGGGTTTGACATCCAGCCACTACCAGGGGCCACCTTCCTTCACGATCATAATCTGACTCCGTATGCGTGGAGAGCGTGAACCAAGCGGCTTCACACTTTGACGGGTTGATGGCCAGGCCATTTTCCTGACTCCACGCATGCAGTTTTTTAAGAACCATGTTGGCAGTGGGAATGGCGTCTTCCCGGGACTGCCCCTTAACGATAATAGAGAGGTCGTCCGCATACATGTCTGCTGTAACATCCGCAAAGCTGATCAGCAGATTGAGAAGTGGGCGCACGTAAAGGGAGAACAAATATGTTTCCAGCACGGACCCCTGAGGAACTCCTCGCAGCATGGGACGCCGATCACTGTTTCTGTTACAAACTCGTGTCTTCGCGTAGCGACCACATAGAAAATTTATAAGCCACCTTCTACAATTCACCCCCGAAATATTAGCCAGCAAGCGACTGAGGACTCGATGATCTATGGAGTCAAAAGCCTTGCTGAAATCAACCAACACCAGCAGAGTCCGATGGGGTCTGTAGTGGAGTTGATTACCAATACCGCTCTTCTTGGGAAGGTTCACTTGGAAATAATGATTTCTATTATGCTCCACTTCGTGTATCAGGTGTGCCAGCTGCATCGTCGTGGTACGCATACTACGATATGCATACTGGTGGGGGTGTGGCGTCCACACCAAAAGCAATCTCTTCAGTACCATTTTCTCAGCAACCTTACTCACAATGGAAGTAAGGCTGATGGGTCGATATGACTCAAGCAGTTCCGGCGACTTACCGGGTTTTAAGAGTAGGACGATGGTAGCGCGTCTCCACTCAGCCGGGATCGTACCGGTCGTCCAGCTGTGGTTAATGCAACGAAGAAGGGATCGAAGACCCTTTGACGAAATATGTCGTAGTGCCTCACTGTAGACTTCATCCGGTCCGGGGGCCTTGCCATACGGCGTATCACGTAGCGCAGCAAGCAGTTCCGTACGATTAAAAGGTGCAACAAGAGAGAAGTGAAGATGAGCAACTAAACCAGATGTGGTAGCAGCTTCGTTGTTATCCTGTGGCTCGGAACTAGATGAAAATGAAGAAAATGAAGTAGATGTAGCGGCAGACTCGTTGTTGTTCTGCTGCCCAAAAAGAGAAGAAGAAACAATGCCCAAAGATGGGTTCTGTCTTTTGATGCCTTTGGAAAACCTTACTGCCTTGTGAGAGGGGTGAAGTGGAAAAAAGATGCGATTGAGAGCATTCGCTGCTCTCCTTGCTGTTTTGTAAGTGTGTTGACCATCTCCCAACAACAATGATGTAGGAGGTGGAAGTGATGCCTTTTTTCGTCCGGAAATGTATTTCCATGCGAGTGGTTTGCCTGGATTTAACTTGCTGATGCGACGTAGATACGTGTTACGCAAGCGCTCTCGGAGTAGGAGGAAGAATTGACTCCTTGTCCGTTGCATTTCTGCCTCACGGTCGGGCGTCGGTAACTGTAGATAGCGGGCCTTGCTGTCGGTAGCAATCCGCTCTGCCTCCATGAGAGTGTCGTCCCAAAGCCTGGGACCATCCTTGTGCATGCCGCGGGGGCAATGTCGTCGATACGAAGTAATAAGCGCTCTCGTGAAAGCTTTAATGCCGGTGGACTGCTTTTTATAGTCGTATGCCGGAAGTTGTGCGTCGAAGTCCTTAATGAATAAATCCCATTTACACTTCCCCCAACTGTAGAATGTCTTAGGTGCCGAAGGAGGTGCCGAAGGTATAGTATCCATAAATGCCTGATGCAGCGTGAATGTCAGCGTATAATGATCACTAAGCGGCGACACAGAAGCTGACCAATCTGACACAGTCAAATGCTTTGACCATGTCAGATCGATACAGGATCGTTCTCTTGTGCCACGAGCATACGTGATCTCACCAGGGGTGTTAACCAAGGTGAGTCCCGCATCTGTGCACAGTTCTAAAAACTCTGCAGCAACCTCGCTTGGAGAAGACTCCAAGAATGGCTCCCACTGTGGGTGATGCATGTTGAAATCCCCGCACAGCAGGAGCGGCGACGAGGCTGGAAGGCAGTTTACTAACCGCCTGAAGGATTGCGTTACTTGCGGTGGTGGTCTCATATAGGCACTCGCTACGATAAGATCACGGTTCTGGTCCAGAGCAACCTGGACCACCACCACTTCAAGGCTGGTGTCATGCTGGGGGATGGTGAGAGGTATACGCTTGGAGCGGAGAGTTTTCCGCACCAGCACCGCCACACCGCCTCCCTTGCCGATGCGCGACTGTGCATAGAGCACATAATCTCCAGTATGCATGCTGGCGATCTGCTCCGAAGACTTCCAAGTCTCCTGGATGGCTATTATGTCTGCTCCTTGCGCCATTAATGTTGCGAGTTTTGACGGCGTGAGGCAAGAAACGTTCATCTGGAGTACTGCTATGGGGCCTGGTTCTGCTCAATGTCTCCGCTTAGCAGTAGCTTTTGTCGTTGCGCGTCACATACGGCACGCAAACAGTATGTATAGCGCTGATAAGCGCCGATGGAATTCAGCAGCGGATGGAAATACCACTCCGCGGGCAGCCATGTAAATGGCTCCATCTGGTGCCCTTCCGACCCGTTTGAGCGGCGCCTACTGCCTCTCCGCGTGAAGCGGATGGGCAGCAGGCGCTTAGCTTCCTCTCTAGCAAAGAGTACTAGACCCCTGGCACCACATTGGGGTGGCCGGCTGCGCCACTAGACAGTACACTTTCAGGACCACCCTATTCCTCCAGCTCAATGCCCTCAAGCGTGGGGCAGCTGTGGTGCTGACGCGCCATTGCCTTCGTCTTCGGCGTTGAAATCACAGATACCTCGAGCCTCCCACGCACGTTCGGGACCTCGGAAATCATATTTAACATCAAAAACTGCGCTTTTGCAAACCCAAGAGCATGACCCAACTCGTGGGCCGCCACACGCACGTCTTCATATGTTGCCGCTACTTGCCTCGGGTCAAAGTTCACGGCAGCAGCAAATGGACGGCCATCATCCAGCATGAAGCACGGTACCGCCCATGCGCTTGGACCAGAAGTCGGAAAACCGTTCGCGTAGATAATCATGTCGGCGCAAACCACACCCATCGTGTGGTGCTTGTGTGGGATGGTGAAGTTATTGCACATCCCCAGACCGGTTCGAGGAATGAGGACGGGGCGCGTCACGGGCCTCACGGAGAGACGCTCCGCGTGCAGTTGAATTGCGGCGGGGAGAGTTTGCCTCAAAACAATGCTCCTCCTCTCCTCCGTCAACACGTCATCCGCCTCGCATGTTATTGCGCGGCCATCGTGGTCAATGCGCAGATCCCCCGCCGCAGTGCAGTGCCTCAACGGATTGTGCATGTCCTCCGCGGACACCCTGATGCGGATCGGAGCCCAGCCATCGTCCTCATCCTCGCTGGCGGCGGTGTGCGCCTGCACGGCGCCCTGTCCCCGGCGCGGCACCTCACGCACCACCGCAGTTGGCAGCCGGCCGTATTTCTTCATCATCGCGTCAAACCCACAGCAGTGCTTCACTGCACGATCGGCGGCAACGCAAACACCAACGCAACACACCACCATCATGAGCCACGGCAGCAGCAGTGGCAGCAGCGGCGCGGTGTGGCGTGGCTGGCGCATGGCTTGGGGACAATGTGTCTGTTCCTGAGGTGCGGGCAGCAGCAGTGGTATTAGTGGTGGTGGTGGTGGTAGCACAGGCCTTGTCTGCGGGAGGAGAAGCAGAAGGAGGAGGAAAAGAGAAGAGCAGAGGGGCAGCACCACAAATTACCGCAGCGCACGCACAGACAACAAAAAAAAACAGACACAGCCTCCAAATAAAGCCGAAGCATGGAAAAATGTTCGCCTGGGCTGCGGGCCGGATCCTGAACTGATACGCACAAATAAAATAGGACGGGAAAGAAGAGGGCCATGGAGAGGCAGCGGCCTCTCCACATCCTCAATGTTTGTCCCAAGTACATCTATGCATTCGGGTAGCCACCCTCGTGCCACGGTGCGGTGTATTCGGATTGGGGACATTTATTACCTACGAAGTGGAACACTTTGGGCCCTCCAGCCACAATACCTCGCCGCAGGGTCGGAAAGAGGGTGAGAGAGAAGGTAAAAATGTAAATAAAATTTATTGATTTGACGGACCTACAGGTTTTTTCATTCACTCCTCTTCTTTTCCGTTTGTTTGATTTCTAATGATAACTTTAGGATACGGTCAGCAGCTCAGGTGGATATATATTTTTTATTCATTATATTGTTTGTGTTCGATGTGCTCGCACCTTTGTTTTTTCTCAAGTTATTTCGTATGCGGGGTCGTGCTGCGCTTGTTTCCTTTTGCACATGCGCCGTTACGATGGGTTATCGGTGCGGGCGGTGTTGGCCACTGCGGGTCCGTGTGTTGGACTCACGAGGATCCCTTTTTGTTGTTGTTGTTGTTGGGGGCGTTGAAATGTTGCGCTCCTTTTTACGTGCACAGCAATCACCCCTCGTATACATATGTGAATCTTTGAGGGCCGGGGCCATTCCCCTTTTGCAAGGCCACAGGGATTTTTTCTTGCATGTCATTCTCCCCGACCCTCTCAAGACGTTTGATCGTTTGACAGGGTGTTTCCGCACCCCTAAAGCACTCTTTTTGCACCGTTGTGGCGTCTCTCCCTTTATTTTGCCTCTACCACGCGAAAATAGCGGGCTCACACGCTCTCCCGCACGACGAGTAATACTATGGAAGTTGAGTTCTTGGGCATGCGAACGCGCTCCGCGACAAGGAACGCAGTCCGGTGGATGGTGCTGTTTCTCCTGCTGCAGTACCTGGGCAGCCATCCCTCCTTTACTGCTGCAGGAAAAGTGGAGGAAGGACACGTGGTTATTGAAATTGTGAAGTATTTCCACTACGCCAATCCGATTTTTTTTGAAAATTATGCCGGTGACGTGAGTTATTTTAGCTCTGATGACGCCTGTCATTTGGGTGGAGGCGTCCTTTCTGCGGATCAAACACCTGCTGCACATGTGGCCATCGCGGGTGAGTTGAGAAAGACCGCAGTCCCTAAATACAAAACAAGCCATGTGTACCTGGGTGGAGACGCCGACCACGAAGCGACCCCAACAACAGATCCCAAAAAAAGGTGTGGACGAGGTTTGAAGTGGGCATCGTTAAACTGCATCTTCAGGTGGAATAAAGGTGCGTTTGCCGACTCCTCGGCTGATGGTCTTGGTGTTGCTTTTTTCAGGGGCACACTGTATACGCTTGTTGACGCGGGGCCAATGAACGGGTACAAGGCTTATTGGCCCTATCAGTACCCTCATCACGGCAAGACGTTCTTAATGCTTCGTCTGAAAACGACTGACAACAATGGGAACGCAACGTGGTATGATTGGTATCCTGCGCCTAAAGACCACACCGACACGCCTTACCGTTCATTTGGCGTCGTCTGTGAGGCTCAAAAAGGGTACGTCGTCAGCACTACGACACTTCCACCGGCTGTAGTGGTTCCGTGGTTGCAGAAGAATTGGTATGTTGTCTTGATTGCAGTATTGCTGCCGGTTATTGCTGCCGTTGCGCTAATCACCGTCTGCTTCTACCGTTGCCGCGGTGTTGACGATGAATCGAAGTGGGTGGTGCACATGGTATTGCGGGAGATGAACGACAGTCCCTTGTATGCAATTGACGGGAATGATGGAATCCACAATAATAACAGCCAGATGCTGCGTAGTTTAACGTTGGGCGATGAGGTGCTCACGACTGTTCCCTCTGGATACGGAAACTTTGAGGTCCCTAAGGTGATAAAGAACCAAGGAAGCACCGTGTACGATGACGGAGATGTGGCTTAATTATTATTTTCTCATTAATTATTATTTACGCCTCTCTGCCGCCTTGCATGTGTATTCACGTGTCTCTTGCAGTTCCTGCCTGTTTGTCCACGATTTTTAAATTAGAAAAGAAGAGGTGTGGGTAATGCAGCGACTGTGGGAGAAAGGAAGCATCATGCGGAAAGAGCGGAATAGAAGGCATGATTTGGCTTCACCATTCTTTATTTTGTTTGTTTGTTTCTCCCTCTCAGTTTGGGGCTGCGCGCGTGTAGGCGGTGTGCCCTTTTTCCCACCAGCATCTTCTCTTTTCCCTATTTACACTGGCGGCGACACGGCTGTGGGAACAAAAGGAAGGAAAGGGGAGAAAAGTGTCATTGTGAAATTGAATATCAATTTGTTAAAACTGTGCCATTAGAATGGGGAAAATCATTTTTTTTTTTTCTTCGAAAAATGTGGGAAGAATGTGCGTCACGATGAGGCCGAGCAGATGATAAAATGCATTAATTAACTGCCCCGTTTCCTTGACGATTGTTGGATTATTATTTTGTTAGAGGGTGTGCTGAATTTGTTGCGGTTTTTTTTTTGTTTGTGTTTTATTTTATTTTTTTTCATTCACCGTTCTCGCTTCTGCCGCTCTTAACGCGGAGGTGTCTGACGGATGTGAAGCCCCCCAAATACTGCCGCTTCGTCAGCTCACAACGAGTCCGGTTAGTACAACACGTGAATTATGTATTTTTTTTTTTTTGACTTGTGTATGGGTGTTGGATCCGCCTTCTCTGAAGTGTGGGGGATGTCGGGTGGTGCAGTAAGCCAAACTGTCACCTTCCATCGGTTTTTTTTTGTGATATTTCTCTGAATATTTAACGCGGCCTCATCCAGGCACGGATGACCATTTTTTGTTGTTGTTGTTGTTGTTAATGTTTCTGCATGTGGTCTATGATCATCTTTAGGGGAAGGGGTGTTTTATAGGACGAGGTGGGGCTTCGTCTTTGCTTTTGGTGTGGAACGGTTGGCGACACTAATATGCGCATGTATGTATATATATATATGTGTGCGTGTATTGTCCTTTCTTTTTCCTTCTTTTTTTTTTGGGGGGGGGTTTGAGGTGGGGCATTTTCTTTACTTCTTCTATGTGAGCTGTTTTCCCTGCTGCGTGATCTGCCTTGACGTGGAGGGGAGTTGCGGCGTGCTGTTGGACCCTCCACTTCCTCCAAAGAAAACATACATATACATACATATATATATATGCGCATAAAATACGGGCGCGTATTCTGTGCGGCGGAACTGTCTGTGGATGCATACAGGCGACAAGGGAGGCTGCGTCTCTACCGTGCCCTTCTTAAAAGGGGAAACCGCTTTCCATGACGCTCCTGGCGGGGAATAGTGGCGGAGGAAGTTCGAGGTGCCTTTCGACATCTTCGTAATGATCCAACAACGACGAGGGAGGTGGATCACAAGCTTCTTTTGGTGTGAGAACTGGCTGCCGCTATTCAGACCTACGCCGAGAACATGTACCGGTTGCATTCCCGAGATGAGGTTTCGAGGAGAATGATGCATCATTCCATTGAGCAGCATTGTCAGCGTATTGGGGAGATGGAGCGGTGTAATGCCGTGGGAAATGCGGCAATAGAAACGCCAGTGGTGTCCGAATTCAAGTCATCGGTGTACCATGTGCATCCGGACTGTCACGGGAGGATTGGACAGACGCCGTTGACGCACAGCCGTGGAATTTGGAGACCGCGTGGACAATATGGATCCGATGTTGGCGGTCCCCGACAGAAGTTTTGTGCCCGTCGCTACAAGGCCTTATTCCCACAGGGTTGGGAATTCCACCAACCTCTGCGTGCGAGTGTGTGTTGACCTTTTTGCTGCGTTATTAGGCCTTGGGGTGCTGTTGTTGTCTTCTTTGCCTTCCTGCTTGCGTCTGTGTGGATTGCCTGGCGAATACGCGCCGCTGTTTTAGCGGAGGGGAATGACAGCGGGATTTGGCCTGAGAGGGGCCCTGGTGCGTCTTTTTTGTGTCGAGCGGGACGGCGGTGAGCTTCACGACGCGGAGGTGTTCGACGCCGTTGTTGGCTCCGCAGTTGTTGCCGTCGTGCCGCTGTTGTATACACCTTTGCGGGCGTTGGCAGGGAGGCGCAGGGCATTGATTGTGCGGACAGCCCAGTCGTTCTCAGATATTTCTGCGGACGCCAGGGCCGTTGTTGTTGGTGAGGAGTCGACCTGCTCGCCGTCCCTCCCGACTTCACGGTCAGTTTTGTCTGTGTGGATTATTATCGACGCAGAGCGAGCCGCAGATGTGGAATTTGCAAAATTATTTCTCATGGAAGTGGTGTGTGCGTGCGTGGATGGGGTCTTCCGGGGTCTTATGCGGACACGCTGTGGGCGCCGCATGTTTCGCGTGTGTGTTTTTCTTGCGCGCACCGCAGTTGGAGCGGATGCTGTTGTTCGTCTGGCGAGCAGTGAGGGTACTGGTTGCTGTGGTGTTTCTACCGTTGCTGTCGAAGTGGCGGTGAGTCTGTCGGCTCCCAGCCTGTTTCGCCTGCGTCATGGTGCGTTGCTGCGGAGGGAGCGTCGACTCAATGACGCCGCGTCTCGCTATCTAGGCCCGGGTGTTTACTTGGACAGCCGTTGGAGGTCCCCTGAAGTGGCAGACCGCGTTTGGCGTGCGATGGCTCCAAAGGGTTTTGCCACAATGCGGTGTTGTGCGACGGGTGTGCGTCGAACAAATTGCTCTGGGCCAAGGAACGGGCCCGCAGAGTATTTTTTGTCTGGTGATTTGGTAAGAAGCAGGCGTCATGTGAGGTCCACACTATTCGGGGGAAACAAACGGTGCGGATACCGAAGGGAAACCGGAACATGAACCCTCCTGCATGATGTCTTTGCTGCGTCCTCTGGCTGGCTTTGTGATGCGCACGGGCGAACCATCCATTGTGGTGTTTGCCGTGGCTTCATCTGCCGGTGGCCCGCAGTATTCGGCGTTGTGTTACACCGAGACGGCGCTGATGTTATTGGGCCTACTGTTTTTTCTCTTTTCTCTACCGTTGGGCCGTGGATCTCTCACTGCGGCAACGTCATGAACGTTGTGCAGCCATGCTTTGAGCGGTTTGCCTATATAAAACCGCCCTCTTGGCGTGCACCTGTCCCCTATGTATAATATATCTGTGCGTTTTTTTGCTTACAAGGAGGGGGGCAAGAGGGGTGGGAGGAGGCAAAGGAAGAGAGAGGGATCCCCGACGCGCATGGATGCGCTGAACCCAAATTCTTGGGAATCCGAGGGGAGATGGGGACCGGACCTAAGCGTGCAGTGCGGAGTTGGATGCATTTGTATGTGGCCGGGGAGGAGGCCGCGGGGGCGCCTAAATGAGGAAGGAGAGAATTGAAGGAATCTAAAAAGAGGTGTGGTGGCGTCGAAGGGGTTGCGGTGACTCTGGTGTCTGTGTTCCTGTGCGTGTTCCACATCATGCCCTTTTTTCTTCGACTCATCTCTCAGCCAGGATGCGGCCACAGCACGGGAGTCGCTCACATGGACCACGCGTTTCCCGGGAACCATTTCAAGGCAGCACTTTTCCTCGACCATGAGTTTGGGGACATTGAGGCAGCCGCACGGCTTGGCGACAAGCAGAAGCTTCTTTTCTACGCCCTGCGGCGGCAGGCCGAGCATGGTCCATGCACGGGCGCGGCGCCGTCCATATGGTGGACGCGTAAGCGCATTAAGTGCGATGCATGGAAGCAACTGGGCGACATGTCTGTATATGAGGCGATGGTAAATTTTGTGAGGTCATTTGGGGGTGTTTAGGGTGAAGTCAACTGGGTGGAGAATCGCAAAGCTTTGGAGAACAACATCTTACATGCGGTGGACAAGTGGCAGCACACATGCCCCAGGAGAGGAGGACACGTGGTACGATGATGTGCGTGCCCACCGGGAGCCCACCGTGGAGACTGCAAGACATTTGGCATCGCAGGTCGTTCGGTTGCGACGTGAGGCGCATCAACCGCGATTGTCGACGGCTGAAAAACAAACGAGGGAATGTGTTTCTGTGCGTCCGGCGCTCCCCACCCATCAAAGCACCAGCGGGCAACGCGGGCTTTCCTCAGAAGGCAGCGCCGACGCCGCGAGGGAGACCCGTCGCGAGGAGGAGCGGTAGCCTGTTGCCGTCGCCACCGTTCTCCTGTCCGCCCACGAAATTGGCGGAGGTGGCGTTGGGAAGCCCTCGACTGCCTTCCCCATCCCCCCGGGAGGCGGGGAATGGGCTGGGCGGGATGGCTCGGTCGTTCCGAGCGAGCGAGGGGGAGAGGGGAGGAGAATGAAACGCCCCTTTGCGGAGTGCATGACCGTGATTGGGGCGTCGCTGTTCGCGTTTCTTTTGTTTCTCTTTCAATTAATTGACGCTGCCCTGCTCCTTGTGCCCCCGTTTGGGCAAATGTGTCTTTGGCCCGGACCGAGCGTGCCTTGAATGGTGCCCATGGGCTTTTTGGATGCGCTCTTTTATGGTGTTCCCTCTCTTTCGCCCCTCTCCCACGACTATTTCCCCCTCAGACTCATTTGCGTTTCTTTTTTTTTTTTTCACGTCCAGTTGTGTTCGTACATTGGCCCGATGGCGGGTGCACTGTAACGTCACGCCGACGTCAACGTCCACAAGGAACCACGAAAATATGAAGCGCGTGGTTGGCGTCTTTGCGGAGGGTGTGGCTGCAGGACCTTCTGACCCGACGAGTGTGGGGCGCGTTGATTGTGGGAAAGCGGTGGTTCCGTTCCCATGTTTCGCCGAAACAATTTTGCTTCATGCGCCTTCTTTGTTTGGGCGGCGCAAAGCCCGCACGATGCTGATTGGAGTCAACGGAATGCGTTCCGCTGGCGGGGGTGGGACCCCACCATCTCTCGGGGGGACGGATTTAACGCAGAAGAATGAAATTTGACGGCCGACGAGATGAAGAAGCCTGCGCTTCACGCAATAGAAAAGTTTCCGTGGGGACCCGAGCGCACCACGTGGAGATGCTTTTTTTTCCTCTCCCAGTTTGCCCACACAATGGCATGAACCCTTCTCCCGTGTCCGCTGATACAATTACTAAATAAGTGACAAGCCGCATGCATTATAAAATTTCGTCGCAGAAACCAAAGAGACAGTGATACCAAGGCGACTCGCCCACTCACGGCCTCCTCGGGATCGCCGAACCACACCGACAGCATGCAGCTCACGAAGCGCACAAGATTGTTGTTGTGCACGGTGTTATTCTATTTTTACGTTTGCGTGGGGTTTCCTATTGAATGCCGCTCTTTTGGTTAAAAGAAATACGCGACCGCCCGTCGCTACCAATTTCGGTGCGAAAAGTCGGACACGATGCATGAATCCCCATTTTGTGCGTGTGGCCGCAGGTCTCCATTTGCGCTTTTTATATCGATGATTTTGTTGCTTTTTTACTTTTGGGTGAATGGGCCTCTCCGTCCACTGTTTCCACGGCGTCTGGGGCGAGGTGACGGTGGGCGGCAAAAGCGCCGCTTCTCCGCCAATGATCTCCTGTCGTGCTTTTGCTCACTGGCCCTCGCGCGGAGCGGGCGGAGGCGCTTGTCTCTGCTCTTCCCGGCGCGCAAAGAAGCTTCCTTCGCCGTCCCCGGGAGAGTTTTTGCAAAACGAGTCGCTCCTAAGTGTGTTTATGGTTGGCCACCTCGCCGTGGCGCCTTTGGCGGGCCAAAAAACAGGCCGGAAAAAAACAGGAAACCCCGGCGGCGGCGAGAAGAGTGTCGGCTTCCATTCCTCCCTGGCGAATTTCCGGGCACCCTCGAACAGCACGCGCGACGGAAACGGCCGGGAAAAAATCCAATTCGAGCGTTTTTTTTGGCCGCGCTTTTCTTCCCTTTTTGTGGGATTAAGTGGTGTGGTGTGGTGTGTGAGAGAAAGGAAAAAAAAAAAAAACAAGCAGAGGAATAAAAGCACACACACGCAGAGAGAGAGAGAGAGAGGGAGAGTGAGAGGGAGAGTGAGAGGGAGGGAGGGACGTTAATAGGGAAGAAGAGGGGCAACGGCGAAACGAACAGAAAATACGCGCCCAAAAAGAAAAAGAAAAAGGAAAAAAAAAGAGGAATGACTACAATAATTTTAAAGATTACAAAGTTCTGGCACGTCTTTTTTTTTTTCATATATTTCCTTTAGAAATGGGGGGCGATGATGTTGGTATATATGGATAGATATCTACATGTGCGTGCGTACATATGATATTTGGCCAATTTCTTCGTCATTCCTCTTCCTCTTTTGTATCGTGCTTCTTGCGGCTCTCGGTCGCATTGTGGCACCGCCAAAACCCTAAAAGTGCGGTAAAGGGTTTGAGCGGGCGTTTTTTATTTTTTTTATTTTTATTATTATTTCTTTTGCCTTTTTTCCAATGAGACACACACACAGACAGAGAGAGGGAGAGAGAGAGAGGGAAAGAGGGAAAGAGTAAATGAGAAGTATTTCGTAATGGGATCAGCCAAACGAGCATGCGTGCATCCCTTCCCCCCTCCCCTCCACTTTACTTCCGGCAAACAATTATACATACGTATGTGTGCATATATATATATATAAATTACATGGAAGAGTTGTGGGTGTGGGTGTGGGTTGAAGTGGAGTCAGGAGCGTCCAACAATGCGGGGAAAGGAAATGAAAGGAAAAAAAAAAAAAGAAAAAAAT